AAGGTCGTTTTTGGGTATAGTCTGGGCACCGTGGGGCTCGGGGGGATCCGGTAAACTGTCCCGGACCCGCGCTGCGCTTTAAACACTCTGCAGACGGGGTGGAGGACAGAGCCGTGTAGTAAACACGCTACAGTGGCAGAGGACAGAGCTGTGTATTAAACACGCTACAGAGTGGATTGTGGAAAGAGCTGTGTATAAAACCCGCCACGCTGGGAGAGGACAGAGCTGTGTATTAAACACTAAAGCCGTGAATTAAACACGCTTCAGTGGCAGAGGACAGAGATGTGTATTAAACACGCTACAGAGTGGGCTGAACACAGAGCTGTGTATTAAACACGCTACGGTGGGAGAGGACAGGGTTGTGTATAAAACAGAATATACTGCATATATCAATTACTACTAATTAAACGATCTGCACATCGCTTTGTAAATGAGACGATCTTTATCTCTACAGCCAAGTAAATATTTTTACATACCCGTTTGCAATCAAATTCCCTTCTTCCATTTCCGACTCTAAGAATGAAAGGCGCTTTGGCGGTGTCGCGGAGCCCGGTTTCTTCAGCCTGATCTCTGTAAGCGCTGGGCGGGCTGTCACGAGTGAGAGTGGGCGCTGGGAATCTGGGGGACGGGTTTCGAAAATTCGGAGTGAGGATGTTCTCAGTAATGAAACTTGAAACTTGTTTGCGTTGTATTAATAGCAAATTAAATGCGAGCTTCTTTAAGCTGTTTACATTTGTCACGGCGTTAAAATTGCTTCATGTAATTTGGCCTTCATGTAATACACCGATCTTGGATGTTTTCTGTTTGGCGTGGTGTGGAGATCTTCTATTGACCCATTCACCCGTGAGTTAAAGTTGTACAAAAGATCCTACTGGGGCTGGGATTCTCACGCATGGTATTAAATCTGCACCGGTACACCAGTAGGAGTCACGGCCACCTGTCCAGCACCTAACTGGACAGCGGGCTCCCGAGCGACCCACGGGCTTCCGTGGAACTGTCACGCGAGGCGCCCGGTAAACAGGGTTAAAGAAAAACACGCCTCCGACGCGAGTGTCCAAGTGTAGGGTTCGTGAGGTGGTGACTGTGCACTCTATACAAGAAGGGGATCTGGACAGAGACGGATAGTGTAAGTTTGTTTTGAACGGGCACATTTCCACTTTACTTCATTCTCTCTCATACCTCCGCCTTTGTCACATTATCCGGTATGACCAACCGGACAACAGGAGAACCTGTATTAACGTGGACTTTTCTCTAAACTGAAACAGAGACTTCTGCAGGACACACACCAGGACTCTGCCAGCAGAACTGAATTCTTTAAACTGCAGCACACAACAACAGAACTCTCACTGCATAACTGGAGAAAACGACACAGGACATAAGCTCACAAGGGTTTGGGTGCGATCCTGAAGTTCTGGTTTAATCTGCGGCGAGAGGGACCAACCCCCTGCCCGGCGGGACGTCCCCGGAGCGCTAGCCGAGTCCGGGCTCGCTCTCCCCGGCCGCCGCCGCGCCGGCCGCTCGGGAGTGCGCTGAAACCACGTGCCCCGCTTCTTTCCACAGGTTATGAAGCGCCGGAGCTGAAGATGGATCTTGTGTGGATTCTGTTCCTTTCCGTCCTGTACCCGTACGCAGCCGGACAAGGAGTGTACGGTAAGCGGACCGTGCGGGGGGCGGGGAGGGCGAGTGTCTGAAAATGTCTCGGAGTTGTTTTCGGCTCCTGCAACACTGTCACTCAGCGGCCCTTTGAACCCGTGAGCGAGGCTGCAGGCTCACCCCGGTCGGAGCGGAGGTCTGTCCCGGTCTGTCTGGGGAGCAGGCTCGGTCCGGTAGTACCGGGACGCACCGGGTCGGGTCCGTGGTGTGACCAGGTGCCCGCCTGCCGTGACGTTCTCGAGATTCAGCTCGTTACATTCGCTTGTGAACGACGTCTTCAACACTATATTTATAAAAACGACCTGTAATTCCCTCCCAACAAACCTGGCGCAGTAGGAGACGAGACCCGCGGCTTGTAAGGCGTGAGACCGGAGTTAATTGCGTTAGAAAGTCTCCCAGCGGCCCCGCCAGCAGCGCGCCCTCCGTGAGCATCCCACTCGAGCCCCCGACACGGGCGATGTGCTGGAGATGTGTTCTCTCTCCGCCTCTCCCTTTACTCCTCAAAACTTCAGGAACCCCGTCGTTGACCCCAAATGAGAGTCGCTCCAGTGTAAAAGCAGAAGTGTAAATAGGAGATTTCACACCTTATTAAAACTCGCGGGGGAAATAGTTTTTCTAGAGTGTGAGCTGCGCTTCTGTACCCGCGCTCCGAGGCGTGGCGGCAGGAGAAACGCGTTTTACCGGGAGCAGACCGACAGGACAGGCGGAGGCACATGTGCTACTTCATCATCGTCCTCATCGTCACCAAGCGGGATATCACCGCTGTGCGCGACACCCGTGTCTCCACAGCCGGAAACACTGCTCAAACACTGACAGCACAAGCCAGCTCGGCTTCCCTACGGCCCCACGAGCGAACTGGGGTCTTCTTCCTCGAAACGCAGCGTGAACGCGCTCTCCGTCGTGTGACAGTGCGGTCCCACTCGTGTTTTCCTCCTGCCTGAGCCGGAGCGGGCTCCTCGTGTGCTGCGCAGGGCTGGGGATCCACTCCTGGACAGCGGCGTCCTGGGAGCGATTCCGCGGGTAATTACTGAGTTGATAAAACCGGGCCTACACCGCTATCACAGCAGGACTAATACAGACCTTTTCACCAGTCTACAAGCGCTCGGGAGACTGAAACTGTATATTCGTTGCGTACGTGCCGGGTGTCACACACGATTACCACAGTCCACAGGGACAGACCGTGAAACTGTAATAAATGCGGGTATTAAAAGATCACTTGGCCTCCGTTGGACACGGAAACGCCCATGCTCAGGGGGTAGTGTAGACCTGTGTTCAGAGCTTTCCTGGAGTGCTGGCCTGCCACACTGGGGAAACTGGCTACATTAACTTCTGATCCGGTTTCTGAGAGGAGTTTGTTGTGTGTGGGGTGGAGTAAAGACAATTATAGCCAAATATATGCAGAAAGACCACATTTAATGTCCTGTTCCAGCTTTCAGGGATCTTTTAGCGTGTTTGCACCCCCTTTTCCAACACCTGTGTCCCCCTAGGGTACATCAGCCTGCACCCTCTTTCTAGCAGCTGTATCCCTCTGGGGTACACCACACTGCACCCTCTTTCTAGCAGCCGTGTCCCTCTGGGGTACACCACACTGCACCCCCTTTCCAGCAGCTGTGTCCCTCTGGGGTACACCACACTGCACCCCCTTTCCAGCAGCTGTGTCCCTCTGGGGTACACCACACTGCACCCCCTTTCCAGCAGCTGTATCCCTCTGGGGTACACCAGCATGCATCCCCTTCCCAAGAGCTGTGTCCCCCTGGGGTACACCAGCCTACAGCCCCTTCCCAAGAGCTGTATCCCTCTGGGGTACAACAGCCTGCAGCCCCTTCCCAAGAGCTGTGTCCCCCTGGCCTTCCTGGCAGCTGTGTCCCCCCGGGGGTACACCAGCCTGCGCCCCCTTCTGGGAGCTGTGTCCACCGGGGGTTACACCCACTTGCACCCACTTTCCAGTAGCTGTGTCCCCCTGGGGTACCCCAGACGCTGACACAGTGCTGTATATGAGGGAGAGCTCTTGTGTCCCAGCGTGTGCTGAAACACCAGCAGGTGTGTTCCTACAGGCCTTTGTACCTGTGGCATAAACATCTGCCTCTGGCCCCACACGGGACACACAGGGGACAGCACAGGGGCCACAAGGCCTTGGGCTGTGTGTCAGAGTGTGTCAGGCATTTGTCGGGCAAGCGACTGGCAGCATGTCGTGCAGCGTGTTGGCTGTGTGTGGATCAGCGTGTTGGGCAGCGTGTGGATCAGCGTGTTGGGCACGCATTGGGCAGCGTGTTGGGTGTGTGTCGAGCAGCATGTCAGGCAGCGTGTTAGGAATGTGTCGGGTGTGCGTTGGGCAGGGTGTTAGACGCGTGTCTGGCTGCGTGTGGAGCAGCGTGTTGGGCAGGGTGTTAGACG